AAATAGACAGTAGCTGTGTTGAATATACAGTAGATGTGTGGAATAGACAGTAGAAGTGTGGAATAGACAGTACTTGTGTGGAATAGACATCAGTTGTGTGGAATAGACATTAGTTTGTGGAATAGACAGTAGATGTGTGGAATAGACAGTAGATGTGTGGAATAGACAGTAGATGTGTGGAATAGGCAGCTGTGCGAAATAGACAGTCGCTGTGTGAAATATACAGAAGAAGTGTGGAATAGACAGTAGAAGTTTGGAATAGACAGTAGCAGTGTGGAATAGACAGTAGATGTATGGAATAGGCAGCTGTGTGAAATAGACAGTGGTTGTGTAGTATATACCGTAGATGTGTGGAATAGACAGTAGAAGTGTGGAACAGACAGTAGTTGTGTGGAATAGACAGTATGTGTGTGGAATAGACAGTATATGTGTGGAATAGGCAGTAGATGTGCGGAATAGGCAACTGTGTGAAATAGACAGTAGCTGTGTTGAATATACAGTAGATGTGTGGAATAGACAGTAGAAGTGTGGAATAGACAGTACTTGTGTGGAATAGACATCAGTTGTGTGGAATAGACATTAGTTTGTGGAATAGACAGTAGATGTGTGGAATAGACAGTAGATGTGTGGAATAGACAGTAGATGTGTGGAAAAGGCAGCTGTGCGAAATAGACAGTCGCTGTGTGAAATATACAGAAGAAGTGTGGAATAGACAGTAGAAGTTTGGAATAGACAGTAGCAGTGTGGAATAGACAGTAGATGTATGGAATAGGCAGCTGTGTGAAATAGACAGTGGTTGTGTAGTATATACCGTAGATGTGTGGAATAGACAGTATGTGTGTGGAATAGACAGTATATGTATGAAATAGGCAGCTGTGTGAAATAGACAGTGGCTGTGTAGTATATACCGTAGATGTGTGGAATAGACAGTAGAAGTGTGGAACAGACAGTAGTTGTGTGGAATAGACAGTATGTGTGTGGAATAGACAGTATATGTGTGGAATAGGCAGCTGTGTGAAATAGACAGTGGCTGTGTAGTATATACCGTAGATGTGTGGAATAGACAGTAGAAGTGTGGAACAGACAGTAGTTGTGTGGAATAGACAGTATGTGTGTGGAATAGACAGTATATGTGTGGAATAGGCAGCTGTGTGAAATAGACAGTGGCTGTGTAGTATATACCGTAGATGTGTGGAATAGACAGTAGAAGTGTGGAACAGACAGTAGTTGTGTGGAATAGACAGTATGTGTGTGGAATAGACAGTATATGTGTGGAATAGGCAGCTGTGTGAAATAGACAGTGGCTGTGTAGTATATACCGTAGATGTGTGGAATAGACAGTAGAAGTGTGGAACAGACAGTAGTTGTGTGGAATAGACAGTATGTGTGTGGAATAGACAGTATATGTGTGGAATACGCAGCTGTGTGAAATAGACAGTGGCTGTGTAGTATATACCGTAGATGTGTGGAATAGACAGTAGAAGTGTGGAACAGACAGTAGTTGTGTGGAATAGACAGTATGTGTGTGGAATAGACAGTATATGTGTGGAATAGGCAGCTGTGTGAAATAGACAGTGGCTGTGTAGTATATACCGTAGATGTGTGGAATAGACAGTAGAAGTGTGGAACAGACAGTAGTTGTGTGGAATAGACAGTAGTTGTGTGGAATAGACAATAGATGTATGGAATAGACAGTAGACGTGTGGAATAGACAGTAGCAGTGTGGAATAGACAGTATGTGTGTGGAATATGCAGTAGATGTATGGAATAGGCAGCTGTGTGGAATAGACAGTAGCAGTGTGGAATAGACAGTCGCTGGGTGGAATAGTCAGTAGCAGTGTGGAATAGACAGTAGCAGTGTGGAATAGACAGTAGCTGCGTGGAATAGTCAGTAGCAGTGTGGAATAGACAGTATGTGTGTGGAATATGCAGTAGATGTATGGAATAGGCAGCTGTGTGGAATAGACAGTAGCAGTGTGGAATAGACAGTCGCTGGGTGGAATAGACAGTAGCAGTGTGGAATAGTCAGTCGCTGGGTGGAATAGACAGTAGCAGTGTGGAATAGACAGTCGCTGGGTGGAATAGTCAGTAGCAGTGTGGAATAGACAGTAGCAGAGTGGAATAGACAGTAGCAGTGTGGAATAGACAGTAGCAGTGTGGAATAGACAGTAGCAGTGTGGAATAGACAGTAGCTGCGTGGAATAGTCAGTAGCAGTGTGGAATAGACAGTATGTGTGTGGAATATGCAGTAGATGTATGGAATAGGCAGCTGTGTGGAATAGACAGTAGCAGTGTGGAATAGACAGTCGCTGGGTGGAATAGACAGTAGCTGTGTAGAATAGACATAAGATGTGTGGAATAGACATTAGATGTATGAAATGGGCAGCTGTTTGGAATAGACTGTAGTTGTGTGGAATAGACAGTAGATGTGTGGAATAGACAGTAGATGTATGAAATGGGCAGCTGTGTGGAATAGACTGTAGTTGTGTGGAATAGACATTAGATGTATGAAATGGGCAGCTATGTGGAATAGACTGTAGTTGTGTGGAATAGACAGTAGATGTGTGGAATAGTCAGTAGCTGTGTGGAATAGACTGTAGTTGTGTGGAATAGACAGTAGATGTGTGGAATAGTCAGTAGCTGTGTGGAATAGTCAGTAGCTGTGTGGAATAGTCAGTAGATGTGTGGAATAGGCAGTAGTTAAATGGAATAGATAGTAGTGAGTTTGGTTTAACGCCGGCTTGAACTGTATTCCTGTTATACAATGCATGTCAGCTTAATGTGGAGGGAAGCCCGAAGTGATGCAGGTCTCTGATGTTTACCACTCTGGTGAACCCCACGAGCACGGGTATCGTGCTGACAAACCTAGAAACAATCGGGGCGAACCGGGATTCGAACCAACAATCATAGGTTTTCTGCCTAGTAACGTTTTGGATAACGTTTGTAATATTTTGGTCACATTCAATTTTCACGTGTAAACTTTCTTTTGCTCGGCAGTTTATAAGAGGCAGTTATATGTTAGACGGGTAGTCTTAGAATAGACAGAAGCTATATATAATCGACGGTAGTTGTATGTAGTCACAAACTGCTTATAACATCGTTGTCAAAGACATCATTATTTTATGAAACAGATGCAGTTATTGTTTGTCAAAGACCCTTTTACCGTATGGTTTAAGAAGATACCCATATCCAAGATCATCACGAATCCTTTAAGCATTCTACCATTTGTCGTGGGTACTATCATCGTCCAGCTGACACCTAAACCGTGATGTGTAAGGGAACTGTGTCAGACCCTATGGACGGCAGGTATTTGAGCACTTGTCAAGTCGATGATGACCTTTGTGACAAGGATGGAAGTAAACCGCTGCGTTGTATACAGAGATATGGTTGGGATAATATCTCTCGGGATAGATCTAAAGATTGGGCTGATCACATTCTGCAGTTGTTTCCTAATGAACTTTTTCTTTCATTTCTTAACAGTGGTAGACATTATGCAAACATTGTTTATTTCGTCATAGAATCTGTAGTATAAACAATGCAGACCGAATTTCCATTTCTTTGATTCTTTCAAAGGGGCGGTGGATTGGCCTAGTGGTTAAAGCGTTCGCTCGTGACGTGTGGTCTGCCCAGGTGGAGAGACTCGTCTGCCCTGGTGGGAAGAGTTGTCTGCCCTGATGGAGAAAGTGGTCTGCCCTGGTGGGAAAGAGTTGTCTGCCATGGTGGAGAGAGTTGTCTTCCCTGGTGGAGAGAGTTGTCTTCCCGGGTGGAGAGAGTTGTCTTCCCGGGTGGAGAGACTTGTCTTCCCTGGTGGAAAGAGTTCACGTGACATCTAGAGAGTGATTAAATTGTGCCAAGCCGAAAAATGACAGGCAAATGTGAAATTATTGCACACCGTTTCAACACCTACACCGTGCTTATAAACAATGTTTAAAACTAATAAACTTATATAACTAAAAATTTAATAGGGGCAACTGTTTGAATTTCCAAATTAACATGCGACAATTCCGACATTGTGTTTACTACACCATTGTGTAAGTTAGCAGTATTATATAACAAAAATTAACTGGTGCTTAGTCAGCATACAGAATGTGGTTTTACTTTTTAAAATATGATTTGGTTTAAACAAATTTAAAATCCTTGAAAATCAATAGATTTGCTTGTTTCTACATAAATTTACAACATTTAAAACATGGTAGGGGTCATGTGGTTACAAATTATTTCTTACCCCGGTCTTCATTGAACCACTTTAGTGTACCCAGGTACAGCTTACAAACTGTTGCAGGGATGAGTGATGGCCAAATAGACATGATCAAATTTAACAGCAGTTCCTTCAATTTTCAACAAATAAAAACAAACTAGCTGTACGTTGTCTCCCCACCATATTAGGGCAGTGGTGGCCCAGACATCTGAGGCGAAGCAAGTTGCGTTCCTTCGGCGTGCAAGAATTATGAGGCGACTAACGGGATCGGGTGGCCAGGCTCGCTGACTTGGTTGATGCATGACATCGTATCCCAAATTGCGTAGATCGATGCTCATGATATCAATCACTGGATTGTCTGGTCCAGACTCTGTTATTTACAAACAGCCGTCATATAGCTGGAATATTGCTGAGTGCGGCGTTAAACAACAACCAACCAACGACAAGCATGAGTTGTTTATCTAAAGTGTACAAACCTTTAAATCTTTCGTTATGTCATGCTTGAAAACTTTCGAGGATGTAACAATCGACATTCCTGAATATGGTTATTTCTTTATTGTTAATGAGAACATCCATGACTAAATGACCCACGAGAATTATTCACCGTCTGAGCCCGACACCTCTACCTGGTTTCTTCAAGTGATGGGTAATTGATGTGTCACCTGCAGAGCACTACCTATGTTTTAGCAGACTCGTGGATTGAGTCACACGAACCATGCAATCAATGAAGAGTTACGCGGGGCTCGCGAGCGATGATTCAAGCCGCTGACTGCAGCTGGCAGCAGTAGGTTTAACCAGGTTAAATTTAGACCCCATTATCAACTGCATCAGTTCCGGAAGTCGTCTGCTGCGTCTTACCAGAGTCACGTGATATCGACGGTGGCACTATTTTGGGTCAGAAAACGCCGAGGAGTCTTCACGTGAACTTCGAGGCAGCAACACGGCTATCGGCACCGGTGAGTTACTACTGACGTTTATCAAATGCTTTTAAAATGTTAACTTTAACAGTTCCATATTTCATTGCACGTACTGATATTTAACCATTTCCTTTAGCAGCTGTAAAACTTCAGGAATGCAATTAACACCTAGCTCCCCGCGTTCGCAGGCAAATCGTGGGGAACAAAGAGCGAGGGGCAGAAGGCGGACGGAGATCCACGTACTGTTTACGTTGTAGTAAAAGGCATTTCGCAATATCTGTAAAGACATTCTGTCGGGGTTCATAGTGGTCCTCTGATGCGCAGGAATTGTTAACAAAGCTCGTTAACACTAAGTCTTGTGACAGAGTGCTAATGAGAAGCCACACACATTCAAATGGTGTTATCTTGGAAATCTGATAATACTAAAAGTTATAAAGCGATCATGTTTATTGTAAGAGCCGATGGTTTTATCCTTAACTTCATTCAAAGATCAGGAGATATTTTTGGTAATATTTAAATTTTGAGAATGCTTATTTAAAATCTGAAAAAAAGTCTTTTTCTTTGTATTTGTTTACTTTAAAGTGTGTATTCTAATGTTTAAATGAATAAAACTAATTGTGTAAGTTAAAAGAAGCAGGATTTCTGTTTTTGAAAAAACACTAACTTCATATCAATAGTTTTAAAGTTAAATTTGTTGTTCAACGGAACGGTTGCTGTCTGTGAGTGTAAAAACTGTCAACTTTCGTCAAACCGGTGGAGTTTCCCGTGGAATGTGCACACAGTCTGTTGGCGTATACCCAAAGCCAAGTGCATGCACAACAGTCAAAACCGCTCCAGTCCTTTGAAGGCTCCCGACTGCTACCATACGCGGCGCAGTGTGTAGGGTACAAACAAATCGACAACAAATTTCCTTAAAGCCCCAGCTCGCCTGACACGAATTTCTTTGTTGTTTGTTTATTTGGTCAATGTTGTCTTGTATCTTTTCTCGTCCAACTCTGATCGAACAACATCCTTCGGTCCGGACACTCTCCCTGTCGTGATCAATACCGCCCTCCCCCTTCACCCTTACCCCTCCCCCCCCCCCCCCCCCCCCTTCACCCTTACCCTCCCCCCCCTTCACCCTATCCTGTCCTCAGCTTATACCCTGTAGGGAGACGTTATCACAGAGCCATTCTCAAACGATACACAAGTATGGGGACGGCAGAATTATGATTACTTGTTTGACTGAAACAAGACCAGAATACAAATATTTATTTATGAAACGCGTTCACATACGATGGAGTTTTTCAGTGATCAATTCAATTAATTTTAATTACTATGTTGCCTTTAACGCCCCATGGTACCTCTGGCGTTGACAGTGTATATTTGATATTTAATAACGTTTGACTTAAAAAAAAGTCGATTTCTTTAGATATCCAAATGAATTTGTGATATCATAAGATATAGTAAGTATATGAACTAATTATTGATATCTCTTATTGATTATGCATCATTTCTTAATATCTATAAATGTATTACAGATATAAATGATAAAAAAGCTATATAACTTGACAGAATTGAGTCTTCAAAGCCAAGCAAGTCATGTATTAACGCGAGGTAGATAGTAAGTAGTAGCAGAAAGGGAAGAGTGGTACAAGAACAACGCTATGATGTCCTCCTTCTAATCGTCTTCAGCAGACAATGCGAGATAGAACGAGACTATGTCACGTGATGGATTCTGGACACTTTCCCTTGAGGCAAAATATTTCCTTCTAAGATTCAATTGTTAAGATTACACATCTAAGTGGTGGGATGGCGCTCTGTTTCAACAGTTCGCCGCAGCACGGAAATCTCGTGTGGTTTACTTCCCCTTCAAACATATCCCGTGACTTCCGGTGACAACAATCTCTGACCTATATGAGAAGGAATGAGGAATGTGACACGCGATAATGAACATGTGTCACCCGGCTTGAACTACCCGTTTGGAACTGTCTAGAACCACCGTTTTTTCTCTTCTAGGACCACCCGTTTGTCTCATCTAGAACCAACCTTTTGTCTCATCTACAACCACCCGTTTGGTCCTGTCTAGAACCACCCGTTTGGTCCTGTCTAGAACCATCCGTTTGTCTCATCTAGAACCACCCGTTTGTCTCATCTACAACCACCCGTTTGTCCCATCTAGAACCACCCGTTTGTCCCACATGGAACCATCCATATGATTTTGTTTTTGTTTATTTGTTGTTTAACGCCGCACTCAGCAATATTCCAGCTATATGGCGGCAGTCTGAAAAATAATCGAGTCTGGACCAGGCAATCCAGTGATTGACATCATGAGCATCAATCCACGCAATGGGGATCGATGACATGCATCAACCAAGTCAGCGAGCCAGTTTGTGGGTCTTTTAGCGCTGATAGTTTGACAAGTTTAAACGATCTCAGAATGTTGTAAATATTCGGAAAAGGCCAAATGAAAATAACAACCAGCATGCTCCCAAACATTTCATGAAATTAATAGTAATTAAGTAATCACCTTTATTTAAAAACATAAACTAGTATCCAACTGGGGTCGCTACTTCACAAGACTATCACAGTTTGAGTAACGGTACGTAGATGAAAGTATATATCTTCTACGTTGATGAAAGTATTATCTACGCAGACGATAAAATCTTTTTAGAATGTGACACTCATAAGTTTCCATACTTTTCCATTAGGTACCAACCCGATGTTATTTCAATAACTGTCAAATATGTGAATTATTTGTTGGAATGTAGGTACCCGGATGTTTCCTTGTCTCCCCTCTACTTCCGACTAAGACAGGATATCGCTACAGCACCAACATACACCGACCTGTCAATGATAATGTGGATGATATCAAGAAGGGCTTTTCCCACTATCCCTATCAATACCTAGAGTGGTATACTGGAAAATATCCAAACATATGGAAACATCTTCTGTCTTTCCCTCCACCACTGATAAAGGTCATTTTCACCCCAAACACTCTACTATACTGACCGCTGACCACATGAGACATCTGTCACCTCTAGGACCATAGGCCCTGACCGTTAATACTAGCATCCTGACATGAGACATCTGTCACCTCTATGACCATAGGGCCCTGACCGTTAATACTAGCATCCCGACATGAGACATCTGTCACCTCTAGGACCATAGGCCCTGACCGTTAATACTAGCATCCCGACATGAGTTCCATGACTCGGTACCAAGATAGGAAGATTATTTAGTAACGTACACTTCTGTTTCACGTTATCGTGCAAGGTGCCAAGCTAGCACTCACATGCCCCTTGATTACTATCGTAATGACCGCGTGTATCTGACGGCGCATGCGCTCTGCGAGACTAACACCAAGTCTCTGAAGATATATTATTTTGATCGAAACACGCAACTACATTTAAAGAGATTCTCTGAAGGTTTAGGCAGACAAAATACAGGAGACTTGGTAGTTAAGTGACCAGCGGCAAATTCTCAAAATGGTTTAACGTCCATAGCAAGACCGATGCCCCCACGGCATTCCAAGCACACCTCCTTAGACAGATGACCGCAGGATCATAAATCTGTAGACATTAAGGATGCACAGCCTCGCTACCCTTTAACTGCGTATCAAACTTGTGCGGAGCAGGTTTCTATATTACCGTCATATGTAGCGAGTAATGAGATGATGTTTCCTGTTCACTGCACTCTGTTAACTGAAGAGCGTGGCAGCTATTGATCATAAACCCTACATATATACATGGAATCTGAGGCCTCATCCGCCTCTGTACATGCTCGCTGAATGTGAAGAGCAAATGTGGAAGTAATACATAAGCCAATTAGCGAAGCCCCATCATGCATTCTGGTTTTCGATGTGGCACTCTTGCGCTGTGGTTAAGATATACTACGGCTCTTGTTACTTCGGGGTATCTCTTGAAGATAAAACAACGCACGTGTTTCTTGTTTAATTCTATCCGGTAACATCCTCTAGTGTGCCTCAAAGTCCAGAGCCGCATTGTGTCAGTGACCATGTTCGTCATGCTGCGGGCGATGAGAGGCGACCAGTGCCCGGATGATGCAATACGCATGATCCCAACCTTGGGTTACGTCAATCAAATAAGGCAATGCTGGGTTGATTATCTTTGGGGTAACGTGAGATGTTAATTGCTTCAAACTGAGAAGCAGGATGGAGGTATTAAACATTTGTAGAGAAAATATGCGTTACGTCCGAGGATTATCTTCGAAGGCTGTACTGTCTTTACACCCATGCCTGTGTGTGAATCATGCTGTGAACACGTCGACGTCTTTGATCACTTGAAGCCGGATACTCCTTCTCAAACTACAGGGGGAAATGGTGGTCCTAGGTAAATTAACATTCAGGAGTAATAGCATACATAGGACTTACTTATTTTGCCTTGTACCATATGTTTCAGTGTTTTTTCAGGTGAACAATTGCCTTGCCTTTGATTGTGTTTGTGACGGGTGCCTTTTCGCGAACACCTGGTATCATCACTATTTGATAGTGATTCACAAACACATGCTCATGGTATAGTCGGATTAGTATTATCGACTCCTCTTTATGCAGAGATATCTTTTGGAAGTGGAAAGGATTTTATCGCTTTATTTACAGCTAGGTGATACCCGCAAGATAACTCACAAAAACAAATCATCTCTCCGTTTTCGTGTTCCAAAATGTACATATATGTAAACACACACGTGTTGTAAGGATTCCAACAAAAAAGCGCCGTGGCGTGACCTTGATCGTATTGATCTCTTACACAAGGTTTTCGGGTAATGCGTTTGTAACGACTCGGAGACTTTAGAGTGGATGTTTTTCAGTCGACTTGAAATCAATTTGTGATGCGAACACCAGTCTGGAGGGAAGCTGGGGTGTTAACATTGGCGGCTTGTAATTAGCTTTCCTCATGTCACGTGACCTAGGATCCATTAATGAGGAGACACATGGGGAGGGGCAGGGTACGGAGCCTGACAGTGTCGGGACCCTGTAGTTCCTGATCAGCACACACACCGAGCGCGCGCACACACACACCACACAAACATACACGCACTCA